TTCATAACAACCCTACAGGACAAGAGTCGGTTTCTAAGACGAACAGGCCAGTGCTTAACCCACAACACCAGTATGGTTCTTTCAGTGGTACAAACACCCATATTTCTAAAACAAACATCCATATACACCCCTCAGGTGGCAGCCATGTGTTTGAATTCTTGTTTGTTTTCCAGCATTTAAATGGTCAGAGCCCAAAGGCATTGTAAGAGAGTGGGAGTAAGAGATGATTTGAGACTTCCGGGAGCTCTGAGAAATGTGGGCTCTTAGAGGGGAAGGATGAGAGTCTTTCAGACACTTCTGATTTGCTAGAAGCAAAATGCACCGCTTTCTTCTGGTGGCTTTCAGATACTGCCTTTGTTAAGTTGTTTCTGTTTGCCCTCAAAACTGAACAAAAATGAGGAAATTGGAGCCAAAAGGGAGAAACTCATGTTCATTTTTCTTTCCTGCTCTTACGTCATTGTTTCTTGGTAATGCAAATGAACAATCTTGGTTGTATCAAAAGTATAGAGACCTTCACCCCCATGGGGTTCAAAGCTCACCAGGATTAATGAGGAGTTAATGCTGTGGTGCTGGGGGTTAATGCACCAGACTGCAAAGCCGGTTGAACTGCAAGGTCAGCAGTTCAAGCTCACCAGCTGCTCCTCGGAAACCCTATACAGGGTCGCTATGGGTCGGAACCGACTCGACGGCACTCAACAACAACAATGCTTGTGGCTCAGAGGTGGAGCTCTCACCGTCTATGTAAATGATGGCTCCCCTTTTTCCTTCTTCGGCCAGTGATACAGAAGCCAGCGCCATCTTCTTCAGGCTTGGCTGGTTTTCAGAAGTAGGCCTTTATCATGAGATGTACTTACAATCAAGTGCTCCTTCCACACCGCTCTTCCCCCGGGGGAGGAGGGGAATAGAAGACAGAAGAGAAGACCTCTGTTCTTCTGTTCTCTCATCCTGTTCAGCCTTTATTACTCTGAAGGCTCCTGCCCTCCTCTCTGTTTCTTCTCCCCTCTGCTTGCCCTGCCTTGTCATCCGACCCCTCACCTGTACCCTAAACACCAATGCCTCTACCTGCTTCTCTTTCTGAAACATTCCAGCCCATATCCCCTCTCTGCACCTCAGTGCCAACTCCCCTGCTCCATCCCAGAAGATGGGCTGGGAGACAGAGACTGTTTTCAAAGTCTGGTGATCTAAGAGGCAGGGTGTGTGGTTGAAGACCCCTCAGATGTCAGCTTTTCAAAGCTCTCCAAAGCCCAACTGACAAGCCCAGAGAAAAGAGAACAAGTTCTAAGACACCAAGTTGGGGGACAGACAAACAGAAGCTGTTCTTCTGACTTAGGAGCAGGTATCTCCCTGTGTGCTCTGGGCCTACACACCTCGATGGTTGTCTGGAACACTGGGTCCTCGGTGTGGGGTCAGGAAATGGTGCAGGGGAGTTGGCCACAGCTCCCTGAGGCTGTTTGTTTTCTACAACTGGGATGTTCATAAAGATGGTCAGCTGGAAAGAAATGAGATGTAAGATACAAACACACCATTTGTTTAGCAAAGAGGAGCCACAGGGGGCTGGGTTCTGCCAGCCCATTCACGTGTGCAGATGTTCACAGCTGTGTCCATCCATGGTTCACTGAAAACAGAGGTCTGATAGCACAGAAGTTAAACGAGAGTTGGCATTCCGAACCCACCAGTGGTTCTGAGGGAGAAAGAAGAGGGA